TCCAGAAATAAGAACCAAAGAAAGGATTAAACAAAGGAAAAAAAAGACATATAAAAGTTATAGGAAAGTTCTGTTCCTAAAACAAGAATATTAGCTTAATACTAGCCAAAGATTGAGGCCCAAAGGATGTAACTAATCAACACAACCAACAAATCAAGCAATTGGCCAAATAATTAATCGTTAAGACTTTTTAGAAAATTATATAATTTATTTATTGGAGCAAACAATGGCAGAATATAAAATAGTTGGAATGGAATTACATGAGCATAGGAAATGGGAGTAGAAAGAACGCAATCAAATGAGTAACTGGATTAGATGAGGTAACACAATTCACAAGCCAATTAGTTGGAACTTTCAATTAAAGGTCGGCGCAACTCTTATTTGTCGTTACACAAACAGAATTCATAAAAAAAATAAAAAAAAAGCTTCCCCTACACACACAAAAAAAAAACTTCCCCTACATGAATTAAAAAAAAAACGTTCTCCATGACAGAAATCAACAATCAAACAGAGACCTCACAAAATTAATCAACAAAGCAATATCAACAAGAAATCACATATATGAGTTAAAAGTGGATAAACAAATAGAAAAGAGGTAAGAATGAACCTCATTATAGCTGAAGATTGATTGTTTCACTACTTCAAACTCAACATATGACAAACTGTGAACGGAACTACGGACGGAACCGCGAATCGAGCCGCAAACGGACTCAATTTGGCTTCTTCGTATTCCTGAAATTCCAATGTAAATGAGAGGACTTCTACTTGAACTTGGGGTGAAACGGGATACTCAAGTTATTTAAGATAATCTATGAAATTAGTGAATAATTCTGACTTTTCCTTTTGAAATTGCTGAATTGAGGTAATAATGGAGAAGAAAAGGGATTTTTGGGTGGATTTAGTTGAAGAAGAAAGAGGCGTTCTTCTTTTCTTTCATCATATGCGGCTGATTGTGTGTTTTTTAGGTGTATATGGTGTTGGGATTGAAAACTTAGGGTAGGGTTTCTATAATTGGGTATTTTATATGGAAGTGGGAAAGGATGATGGCCATTGGATTAGAAGGAAAATAGATGGCTAGGATTAAATCTTGCACTTAAATGGGCTAATGGGTGGGGAAGAATGGGCTAAGGGTAATCGGGTTGGACCATGTCTTTTTGTGTCTCAATTTTGGGGTAAGAAGACTCCAAAAATTATTATTCAAAACCATAGCTAAATTCCTTTAATATAAGATAACTATACTACATGATGCAAAAACAAATTCTAATTAATTAAACTAAACTATATTAAAACATGAAACTATTATACCTATATTTTTTGTATTTTCTAAGATTATATAAAGGTAAAAATAAGGTACTATTTTTGTATATTTTTTGCTTTATGAAAGGTGCATAAAATAAAATATATATATTTTTTGTATTTTTCATTTTCTTGTATTAAAAGAACGTAAAAGAGTAAAAATTAGTTGAAATAGCTATATTAGGCCTAGATTAAATATTTACATGCTAAAATATAAAAAATATTGGGGAGGGTCAAAAATCGCATGTCTACAGCTGCCCCTCTTTGACTGGAAATACGAAGCATTTCCAGACAAAGAACGACTAGACAGATTTTTTGACCCGACTCTTATTTAAAGAGACCAAAAGCTAAAAGAAAAGAGAGTGTGACCGAGCCCTGGTATCTGAGCTGCCTACATATCCTTGGCTATAAAGGAATCAGGCCACGTGTAGTTCAGAAGTGAGTGAAATGATGAAGTGTGTGAAGAGGATGAGGGTCGAGTGAGGTTCCGTCCGAGGCTCCGGTCCGCTGTCCCGTTATTACATCAAAATCAAAAATGAAAAAGACTAACTAAGCCTATCAGCTACGAGTTACAAGATTCCTATCTATGAGTCTTCTGAAGCTTGGTCTTGAGTCTTGGTTGGTTCTTCATGCGGACCCTGATCTGAATCTGATGCTTGTTAGCCGCAGGTGCTAGTTCATTCTTCTTCAGCTTTTCAAACCAGACGGGACAT